CCACCCATTCTCCATGATGTTCTCCATTCCTACGTTCAATTGACCCGATACAAGCATTCATATCTCGAGAAGAGTTTGCAATGATTGAGGAATCACTGTGGTTTCTTGGACACGACAGTCACTTCACCTTTTGCTTTTGGTGTCTGATCACACGACTTTGTTTTTTCATGGGAGTTTTATTGGTAATCCTTTTCTTTCCTTTTAGGATTTTCAATTTCCTTCTTGCTTTTGCATGGATATATTCTTTTGAATTTCGATTTGGAAGTCCAGCGGGATACCCCAACGTTTTCCTAAGAAACTTGTTTTCAAGTTTCGACTTAGCGGGGATTTTTGTTTCTTTCTTATTCGTATTTTCCATTTTGAACAAGTCATTGATCTTTGCATTGTCTTTGATTTGTCGGAAGTGATCGTGACTGTTTGAGTCTTTAGTAGATGAGGCATAGCCATTGTTGTATCGCCATATCTTGACCTCTTGACGTGCGAGGGATACCCATTGGGGTATTGTTAGTTGATGCACGTTGCTGATAGATGAGGGTTAACCATTGTGGTTTTGACTTTCCTCAACCTTTTGATGGATAACCATTTTTGTATCCTCGGATGTACACTCTTGATGAGTTATGAATGTTTGATCAGATTATCTGAACACTACCCGCCCAAGGGTTAAAATGGGGTTTTTTTTATGAACAGAAAAGAAACTCCTACTTCGAAGGCTCAGAGGGGTTAACGAGGGTCTATCTCCCTTATATCTCCGGTATTTAGGAATTGAAACAAGGAATGTACATCGTCAGCAGGGTCTCACTCAAAAGCGTACCAACCTGAGATTTTTACGTTTTTAGATTATCGTCATCCTCCTTCCAACCTTTACCTAAGCATAAGACTTGGAAACTTGGAATCAATATGCAAGTAAAACATTTAAAGAGTGATAAAGAATGAATTAAAAACAAAAGAACACCTCAAGACAAGCATACTTATTGCATTAAGATTTTAATTCAAAAATAGACAAGTTTCTATATACAAGCAATGTTTAAACAAGCAAGCAAGAATGCAAATGAAAATGCACTAAAGAGAACCAATGGTTTCCATTGTTGAGGATACTTGACTCCGTATGGACTTCTTGATTCTGGCGACTTTCTATAGTCTTGATGCTCGAGTGTGCGAGAGAATTCCCCTTCTGATCTGACGTGAACACAACAGTCTTTGAATTGATCTTGTCTTGGACTTTGTCTCTAGATGACATACCTTTAATCGAATAGCCAGGTGCCCTAATATAATATGCATAGAAGATCCTTTCAGGAGAACAAATGGATGACTTACCCAACAAACCGGTATAAATTGCATCACCGAGCATATCGTGTCTCAAAGAAATAATATAGTTTGTCTTCTCTCAGAATAACAGAGACATCCAACTCGTGAGAAAGATCCTGGAAGTTGGCCAAATAGGAATTAGACCTTTGAAAGAGACGCCAGACAGGTGTTGGGCTTTATACCTCAACCCATTTACAGTCTTCGATATCAAAACTGGGTTCCTCAGAATAGGGGATACATCTAGCATGTGTATTGCAATCAGAAGAGATGTTTGTGGAAAGAGGACCCCAAAGATCAGAGCTTTGTCGAACTTCACCAGGAGAGGAAATAACTGGATGTAGTGCGTTGGGGTCAAATCACCATGCTCATCAGACTTCTTTTGTCTTGGCTTAAAATCTTTGCCCCATGAATTCACTTGGGGAATAAAGACTGGTTGTTGTTGAACAAATTAGGGAACACAAAGTTATGGAGAATGCCCCTGATTGAATAGTCGTATGCCCCAACGTGGTAACCACATCTGACGTTGGTCAAGAAGGATGGAGCACTGATGTAAGATCTTATAGTAAATAGTAGCCATTTACTGATAAGATGTTCCAAGAACTCAAGATTGTGGCACTCCATGGTTGAAAACAATTCCCGAAAGGTGAGGGGAAGAGGGAACCTGCTGTAGCAATAAGTGCAAGATTGTTGACATCATTATCATAGTTTCCATGACCTAGCTTATCTGAGTCTTCAATCAATTATCTTCCTGCTTGAAGATATTTCTGACCACGGTCCGAAGCTTGCATGTATACCACACGAAGTTATTCCATAACTGATCCCTAAACAAGTGCAGCAAGAAACAAGTTGAACCTCTGAGGAAAACACATGGTCTGAGTAAGAATCCCTAATCTTTGAGTATCTTTTAGGAATGCATGAATATGCATGGGGTGCATGAATGAATGCCATGTCATGTTCTGTCATTTCTAAGGAATTTACATGTTTTGATTTTGATTTTACACAAGTAAGGGATGGAAGAGTTTATCACAATACTTCCAAATATGATTCCTTGTAAATAATAGAACATGTATGTTAAGCATGTGGTTAACCATGTTATGTATGCAAAGGCATGAGATTAAATGGGATCAAGGTTCCGTCATTTCTGAATATGATTGTTGCACTGTTTCTGAACCATATGAGTACCATCAAGTCAAAGGTCTGACATAGCTTCCGCACATATAAGAACCAAGTACCATGTATATCTCCCATTGTACGAGATCAAGGCTTCTGGAACATCAGATATTGTTGAGCCTTTTCTGAACATGCTGGGAATACCAAGATCAAAGGCTCGAATGGACCTCCAATAAACAAGTCAGGAACTCAGAAAATAAATCTGAAAACCATATGGTCACCAACAGAATATAGCATCTGCATAATTCACCAACAGAAATCCATAACATAATCATTAGAACCTATAGTCCCTACCTGAACATAGTCACCATCTGAATACGAGTAACCATCTGAACATAATCACCAACTGTACCTGTGATAATAATTCCCTCCCCACTCAAGGGTGAAGACTAGATCAGGGTAAGGCAAGGGTAACTCAAAAATCACAGGTTCGCTTGAAAGTAAAATCATCGCAACACAGACGTGCATGATGAAAGTACCTCTAATTGAACCTCATCCGAGCGTGGTATATGACATGACTTCATTAGTCGGACCACGTCCTATAGTCGTCATGCCCCCACTCTATTCCTAGTGTCCCAGTGCACTCTGGCCTGGGTACTTGGCCTTTTACCTCAATAGTAACATCCCAACCCAATCAAGAAGAAGATCCAGTACAACAGTAGTATATGGAAAACAGTAAAATGCAATGCATACATATGCTTAAGTATATACAAAATGAATAAGCCATAAATTATATAAATAAACACCCAAAGAAAAGAATCAAGAGCTATGAGCGGCTTCGGGATGGACCAACATTTGGTCTACCTTTCCCCAGTGAAGTCACCAGCTGAAACAACCGGCTGAAAATCATCAAACAATGAAGTGGCCATCGAACGTCTTTTATCCCATATGTAGGGAAAGGTAAACATCGAGAAAACCTGAGAAGGGAGAAGTCACGGTCTTGCGACCGAGAGATCGGGTAAGGGAGTCAGTTACGCGAGGGGAAGGTATTAGCACCCCACACGCCTGTAGTACTCTGAGGTATCCACTCTTGTTGTCTATCTTATAGGTGTGTTAAATTTATGCTTACTGTTTACTATACTACTGAATGGAGAATGCATGCAAAAGAAAGGGGAAAAATAATGTATGGAAAATAAAATTATGCTCTTTTGGGCCCTACCCCAATGCCTATGTATCCTTTTTGAGGGATCAGAGCTACCGTAGTTTGGCTCATATGTTTGTTTGTTTTGTGTTTTTTATGGACGAAGTTAATTCCGCCTTCTGCCGCAGCTCGACCATTGGAGACTTATGCGTTGGCACAGAAGTAAATTAATCATGTCCTTACCTGAAAATGGTTTTAAAGAAAAGGTGCTTGAGCGCACAAAATGATTTGAGTTGGTTTGTATTTTTGTTGCAGATAATGACTAGTTAACCTTAAGAGAGAGATATTAGCCACTTTTCTACTTAGCTGTGAAATGAGTCTTTGAGAATTGAACCACGCCTAGGCCTGAGATGGAAGAACAATAAGATTGAGAAGAGACCCGCTTATCATTTCCCATATTAAGCAAAGGCATGATTCTCATCAGTAGTTTTAAAGTGTTTTGAAGTTTGGAAGAAAAAGAAGTTTTTGTTTTAAATGCGTATGCAAAAGGGGAAAGAAAAGTCAAAGGGAGACTAGCTTATTTCTAAACCTAATATTATTATGCATCACTGGACCTAAAATTGAAATCTTTGAGGGCATTCTATCTAATATTAGCATGCATAGTTTGCAATAAAGCCCTGCTTCTCATGATTTCTAGAAAGCAATAAAGTGCGAAGATGAGGAATAAAATGAGATTGCGATGATATCGAACGAAGAAGGTCTGTTGCCTCTTCAGGATCATGGAAGCAATAAGAAAACTCTATATAAAGATACTCCGCACGAGTGATCAAATAATTAATCCCCGAGCATTCCACATTGTGAAGGTCACATTAATCATTCTATCACAAAATCTTAGCTAAAAACGGATAATGAAAATGATTATTTAACACAAAATAATAATAAAAACTCTAATAAAATTCTAGGGAGATAACGTAAAATTCTAAATACTATTATTTTTGTATCATTTTTATTATCAATTAAAAAGAAGAATTAAACTAGAATAAAATTGAGATAATAATAAAAAGGAAAAATTAGAAGAGTCAGGGGGTACAAACTGAATTCAGGATACTGTAGAAGCAAATTGGTGCTGAGCCCAATGCGGAATGAGTCCAGGAGATTATTTTTGTTCACAAACTTCAATATTTTCTAAAAAAAACTACAATGGGATTATGAGATGTTATACAACCCAGATCAATCACCAATTGTCTCTAATTCAGCATTATATTATTACATTTTCTAATGAAAATACAAATAACAAAATTAATTAAAATTGAAAATGAAGAAATAGAAATGAAACAAAGGTGCTATTCTTTAGGGTTTCAAGAGGTGGCTATTGGAATTCTGAATAGAGAGAATCCCTCTACTTTCCCAAACGCCGCGCAATTCTTCTACTTTCAGATCCTCTATGATTTCGTCACGGTGGTCATTTAAATGCCATGTCATTTCAGTTTGTTTCCTCACACATCTGGTTTATCTCATATTTTGTCTGCCTCTGTTCATGACCTCGACTCATGACGCAATATCCTCCATTTCAAACTGGAATCAGCCTTCTTCGGTCCAGACCAACATACTCGTTCATCAAGAGAAAATAAAAATGATAAATATAAATCTTACATTCTCCGACGCCTCTTCAAAGCTTTAGCGAAACCGAGAAGTTCAGATACAAATCCAGTAAGTCTTCCTGTCTTGCGCTCAATTTTTATTTCTAATCTCTTTGTTGATGATTTTGTTTCTTCTCACTCTATTCACGATCTTGTTGCGTGCGTGAAGTGGAGAGTAAGATGAATGTTATTCTATAGCAACTCAGAGATGAATCGGTGATGAGGTTGTTGCATTCTGCATTCTTGTTGATGAAGCAGAGAAGATTACAGTGATTATGATCTTGTTCGTTAAAGATGCAATGATGAATTTGTTGATGATAAAAGGTTGAAGATGAAGATTCGGTTCAGAGAGTTAGAAGATTTGGATAATGATGATGAAGGTGCAGAGAGAGAGATCTTCAGTTTTTTCTGGTTTATGAATCGTGTTATATATGCCTTCTCTCTTGAATAATGTGTTCTGTTATATAGATTTTGTGTTGAGGCAGTTATGGAATTGAAATTGTATGTTAGTTAGGAAATTGGTTGGGAGTTAGTTAAAGATTTGTTATAGGTTGGTTTAGATTTTTCTGTTATGGTGTTAATTCCTTAAAGTTGGATGGAAATTTGTTTTGGATTCAGTTAGGGGTTGGTTAAAACAGTTAGAGAATTAAGGAATTCCGTTAGAAGCGGTTAGGGAATTAGTTGGCTATTTGTTAGTTATGTTTAGAAACAATTAGGATATCTGTTAGAGAAATGGTTAAGAAAAGTTTGGAGAAGAATCCTGTTTTTGACTGTTAAGGGAATTGGTTAAGGGTTAGAAAAAGTCAGTTATGAAGAGGTTTGGAGTTTGTTGGGATAAACTCAGTGAATCGCTTATGTTAACTCACTGAATTGGTAGTTAGTTATCACTTTGTTAAATTATGTTAGTATTCTGTTGCTTTTCATGTTAGTTGTTATGGAGAGGAAAAATATTTAAGTATTAGCTTCAATTAAAAGAGAAAATCCAACTCAGTATGTCAGGTTGGTTATGCGAATGTTAAGTGAATTAAATTACAAAGTCAGTTTTGAGAGTCAAAAATATTAACCCTTTGGTAATTGTTAGAAAGTTTGGAATGTTAATCAGAACTTGTTAGTTGTTGTTAATGCTTATTAAATATCAGTTTGAAAATATGTTAGAATTGAAAAAATGTTAGTAAATTGGATTCAGTTATAGTTAGTATGGCTAAAATGATTTGAAGTTAATTTATGAAAGCTATCAAATCTGCTAGTTTATGCTAGGGCCGATCCATACGAATTTCTGTCATGTTTGAACCCGGATCTTCATTGGCTGGCATATTTGACCCTGGATATTTAAATGCCTTAGTATTAGATAGCTTTGAATTGTATTGAAACTGGCTTGAATTCCCTAGCTTGGTTTTGATTAATGATTGCTTTGTGTTGAATGCAGTACAAAATTTAGTTGCCTGATCAGACATTTAAGTTGTTGTAGGCATGGTCGTCGGAAGCATGAGGAGGCATCGATCCATGAAAGTAACTTAAAGCAAATGAAGCAAAGAGGTTGATAAGGACAAGGCTCAAAAAACATGGAGAATGATGGAGAAAATAAAGATGGAGGAATAATCATTCGGTTTATGAATGTTTTTATGTAGTTTTCATTTGGGATTTCTTTTGTAAGAGTATGGACTTGTAAGGTGATGGAGTTGTGACAAAATTTGATGTAATGGCTTTTATTGACACTTGAAATTTCCCTTTCTAACTTGGTGTAATGTTTTTGGTGCCATGAAATGATCTTATACTTTATAATATAATGGCAACTTCCAAATATTCAAAGTGGATTTCCCTTTCGTTAATTTCTTTCTTTGCTTTTGTAATTATGTTGACAAAATGATGATGACTTTGTGATGCAATGAGAACCTTTGAGTTCCAATGACAAAATCCAAATACTTCAAGTAGCTTTCTCTCCTATCTCTAATTTTGTATTCGCTTTTGGATGAGTCATGGACATTGATCCATCAAGGTCTTGAATAACCAAACTTCCTTTGACATCTATGAATGGATCACCAAGCTTTTAAAAAAACCTCAAATGTTTGAATGAACTTTGAACTTGATTGTGACTTGATTTCCAAGTAAATGCCTCTTTCATTTTAATGCCAATATGAACTTTAATCGAGTTTGAATCGTCTAAATTACATGAAAACCCCTAATTCAACTCTTCCATCCATGTTAACTTGTATCTCAAGCAACACGCTAGTGTCTGAATCACCACTTCATCTTTTGTAGCATGAATCAAAACCTCAGAAACTCTATCTTCAAATGTTTGATTTGAAAGAATTCTTTTTTTACTTGATGATTTTAACATAAAACAATACTCTTTTGAGAATCCTTGGATGAAGATGAATGAGATTTGAATCATAGAAGAAAACCCTTGAGATAACCCCATCCATGATATTTACACTGATGAATGCTAACAAGCTTAAACCATGTATGAGAAATCCTAGTCTTCTCGAGATACCCTTGAATCTCTTGATGAAAATGGGATCCTTGTAGCTTGATGAAAGAAGAAGTTCGCGACAATGCTTAAATAAGCAACCCTAGCTTTCTACCAATGATTGATGGCGGAACCCGTAGAAACAATCTTGAATGAAGGTGAAAGTCCCTAAGTAAAAAACCCTAGCTTCAAGATCCCCGATCCTATGCCCATTTGATTGATTAATGATGCATGATGTTTTTAAATGACCTAATGGAAGGTTGTGCACATTTGAAAAGTGCGAAACACATAAGCCAGATAAAAGTAAAAAGGGTAGGACAACTTTGGGGTATTACACCTATGTGAGGAAAATCCAACCCCATACCGCTGACAAAGACTTATGGGTACACTTCTTCCAAGACAGTCTGTCTGAAACTCAACTTGATTGGTTTTATCAGTTAGAAAGAGCCAACATTCACAATTAGGAAGATCTTGTTGCAACCTTCTACAAACAATACCAATACAATGTTGATCTTGCGCCTACCCGTACTCAACTCCAGAGTATGGCCTTCGTTTCCAATAAAGGTTTCAAGGACTATGCGCAAAAATGGAGAGACTTGGCTGGAAGAGTTCAACCTCCCCTATCTGAAAGGGAATCAATGGACATGTTTTTAGGCACCTTGTCTGGTCCCTTCTTCAATCACCTAATTGGGAGTTCATCGGCGGGTTTTACTAAACTGATATTGATCGGAGAAAGGGTAAAAGTCGGGATAAAGAGTGGAAAGATTCAGAAAGATACATCCTCTACTGCAATAAGGAAGCCATTTATCGGAAAGAAAGAAGTGGTTATCATTTATCCTTAGAGAAATCAAGATAGGGCCGAACTCCGTCCAATGGTGGGGGATGTTATGATTCCTAAGCCTGCGCCTGATCAACAAAGAAACAACAAACCAAGGATGGAAAGACCAGTCAGAAAATTCACCAGAATTAACATGACCCTATCTCAGGTATTGCCACATCTGTTAAGATCCAACCTGGCGACTTTGAAAGAAGCTCCAAAGAATCCTAATACAACATCTCCTGACTATCATCCCAATTCCTGTTGCGCATATCACTCTGAAAGTCCCGGCCATGACACTAATAACTGTTGGGATATAAAGAACAAAATACAAGACCTCATTAAAGCCAAAGAGATTGAATTCGATGCGCCCGAAAAGCCAAATGTCATTTCTGCCCCTATACCCAAACATGGCCATAATATCAATGCCATTGAAGAAGAAATGTTTGTTACTTCAGTTGATGAACTTATGACCCCACTCCCGACTATTAAAATGAACTTGTTGAATGCCGGTGTTTTCCCGGGTTATGATGAAGTTTGTCATTTCTGTTTATCCTCACCAACCAGTTGTACTTTATTGAAAAAAGGCATTCAGTGCCTAATAGATAACAAAGAAATTTTGTTTGAAAATACTTCTGTTCCACCTGTTCCTTTTAAAGATGTCTCCATCATTACCATTTCTGCCAATTCTTCCAGGGTTTCCACCAATAGACCCATTAGAATTACATCAGTTCCAAAAGCAACTCCTCTGATAATTACAATGCCTGGACCAATCACGTATTTTTCAGACAAAACCATACCATGGAACTATGGAGGGGATGTCTACTACCACGGTATCAAGCAAGATTGGTCAGCCGCCGAAGATTCGAGTTCCCAAAAGGTCAACTCCGACATCAGTAATATTGCAGGAACTAGAAAGATTACACGAAGCGGAAGGATATTCTCTCTAGAAATTACTCCCTCAAAAGCAGTTTCTGGACCCGTAATCATTCCTGTTGTTGCTCCCCCGAAGGCTATTCCCAGTCCTACAATCGTCTCACTAATATTCCAACTGACCAAGATGTTACAATCCTTGTTATCATTCCTACTAACACTCCTGCTGCCAAGTTAATGGAGACTCAAGGTAAAAGTATTCTGATTGAGCCTGGCCGGACGAAGGCTCAGTCATTGGCTATCCCTGAGACCTCCCGGAAAGAGATGGAGGAAATTTTGAAGATCATAAAAAGAAGCGACTACGATGTAGTTGAACAACTGGGGAAAACTCCCTCTAAAATTTTCAAGCTGTCATTACTACTATGTTTCGAGGCGCATGCAAGAGCCTTGGTAAAATTCCTGAAAATTGCCCATGTACCCAAAGAGACATCTGCCGATCAGTTTCAAGACTGCATAGCCAGCTTGACTGTAGATAATGGTCTAGGTATTTTAGATGCTGATTTAATGCCAAGAGGAAGGAAGCATAATGAGGAATTGCATGTCTCAGTTGAATGTAGTGGCACAACCCTGGCTCATGTTTTGGTGGACACTGGCTCATCTCTGAATGTATTGCCTAAAAAAGCTCTTGATAGGCTTGATTGTGAGGGATTGACATTGAAGCCAAGTTACATAGTAGTAAGGGCTTTTGACGGCTCAAAAAGGATGGTACATGGGGAAGTGGATATCCCCATAAAGGTTGGAACCCAAACATTTGATTCAAGTTTTTATGTAATGGATATCCGTCCCTCATATTCCTGCTTGGTAGGCCGACCATGGATTCGCAA